GGGGCAAATGTGGGGATACAGGTACTTATTCTAAAAGATTCTTCACGTAAATTTGTGACTTCTGGGATCTGAAGCTTTGATCTGGGATTATATATTAGCACTAGACTAGTCTTTCTTTCTAAGCGCAAGAGAAGTGTACTACATGTAATTCACATCCTCTAAGAAATGATGGGAATGGGGAATTGAGTTTGGTGGAGGCAAGACAGGCTGCATCCCAGGGCAGCAGGCTACATAAGAAGAAAAACACTTTCATAAACAGCAGCCATGAACCTACTGCCTGCTTTACCTATTTCTAACAGGTCTGGGTAGCGGGAGGAAGGAAGAAAACGGCAGCATTACCAGTCTTTTACAAGGCCTGGCCACACCCAATAGTGGGAAGAGGGAAAGAAAGACTAGTTCTCTGGCCTCTTGACAGTGGCTGCAGGGAATTACAGGTCTTGGTCCGCCCAGGCTTGGGCCACAAATCCTTGGGGAAGCTTGTCAGGTTTCCCATCTGGTCAAAGGATTATTAAGGGATTTGACCATTCTTTACTTTCAGCAGCTATTTGCTTTGAACTTTGAATTTCTTTCTAAGGGTTGAAGGTACTCTTGACACTAAACATCATCACCATGGTTGGGAGTGGGGAAGACCAAAGTCATCTGGGGTATTAGGTGGGAAGAGAAAGAAGGGATGTTTCTTGCTACATGAGGAAAGAGGTACAGAGCTCTTGCCTCTGTGAACTACCATCCATTTGTCATTGTTCCCATGCTGTTGCTCAAGCTGAGCAAATAGAGGCAGTCTGTATAGCTTTGTACAAGAGAAAAAGGTAAAGGTTAGAGGAGCCCCACGCTAAAAGGAATACTAGGTATTCACCAGCACTCCCCAGGACTTGCTCGTTTCTTTGGCAAATCTGAGTGAGTTCACTCTTAGAAGGTCCAAAGAAAGACAGTGCATTGCATTCTTTGCAGTTGTGGAAGAGTGTACCACAAAACAGCGAATCACTTATGTGTTTGAAAAACTGAATTTTGGCCCTTTCCACAGGACAAAGACATCACTGAGACAACAAAATTCAATTTTACTACCCTGCTGTCATGAAGAAAAGTTGCCTGTCTGAGCATACATTAGGCATTATTTAATTACCACAGAAGAATTTGGGTTAACTGGAGATAATCACCTAGCTTTAAATGTATCACCAGGTCTTTCATTATTTCTTCTTTATCTTATATCTTACATTAAAACCCACCTTAGTCTTTATCTGTCTATGCCCTAATCTTTTCCAGACCTACAATACTAAGACTTATCAGTAAATGTTGCACTTATCATGCCAGGTCTTTTGACATTAGAGTCAGTTTACTTCCTAATAAGGTTAGTGTTCAATAGTAAGCTTTTAAAGTTGTCAACCGTTTGTGAATTACCTGATTGACTGGTTGCATTTATTGTAAACCATACATTTATGCAAATCACAGATTCAGAGATGATTCCAACTTTTCAGTCACAATGGGTAAAATCATATCTGTGCTGAAGTCAATGAGATTTTTTACACAGAATTCCTCAGACTATTCACCTGATGATTTTTTCAGATTCAGATTTTTAGAACCTGTCTGAAAAGATCTGAAGCTCAGTGGTACAGGAAGACAGATTCATAAACCACACTAATAGCTTTCTGTTATATTAAGTTACAGCTGTCCCCAAACTTTTACTCCTTATTTAACTGTAAAATAAACGATCAATGAGAAGACTTTCTCTTTTTCCTTGTTGCCAACAAAACAAGAGGGAGTGCTATCAAGAAAAACTGTACCCTTGTTCTGTCTTTGAGGAACTTATACCGCTCCTGAAGGTCCTGGAGTTCCAGCTGAGTGACATAATGCTCAGCCATCCCACTTCCTTTCACTTCAATTGTCTCCAACAGGCTGCTGTGACTCAACACCTCTTCACTCAGTAGCTGCAAAACAGGAAGAGAAGAACATGTTTATGAATGGGCAGCATTAAAACAAGTCCACAGATTAATCTTGCACTTATTCAGCCTTTTTTGTTGCTTATAAGGTGATATGGGCTTGCTGCTCAGCAAACACACCTTTGCTTTGCTAAGGGCAGCTGTTTTTTCCCTCAGTTCAGCATACTGCCTTTCAGAAGCGTTCATACTTGCTTCTACTTTATCCATCCAGCTGGAAAATTGACGAACATCATCCTGGTAACTTGTCCATTTGGAGAGAGCTCCTTCCAGTTGACTGTAATTTAAAAATACATATTTGTTGTGATAGTGGAGGTTCTCATGCTATTTAAGCAGTGAGATATAGTCATATACAGTTATTCTAGACTATATTTATAAGAAAGATGTATCACAAACTAAGCAGTCTGAGACAGAGCTGTTAAAATCCTACAGGTTTTAACTAGGAGCACTGTTTGGCTGATAAAGAGAAATCAGGTTTTCCAGACTTGGAATATTAAGGAGGTCTGTAACTTATGTAGCTAGCTGATGCATTCTAGCTTTAGTAAATAAAATGCAACTGAAAGCGTAAGATCCAGAATCAGAAATTTTCTGTCCCTTTGCATACATTCAAAAGTTGCTGCATTCTAATGTTTAATTACCTTTGTTGTTTTAAATTGAAATATTTGCAACTAGTGATGCTCCAACAAGGAAGGCCGCATTTTTTTCCCCTGTATTTCTTTATTCTATCACTTTGAGAATCACTACTGGACACTGTAATTACAGTACCTTCTGTGAAATGCTAGCAAGTGGAAAACCAGACAGGATCTTGACAGAGCAACCATTAACATCTGTGACAAGATCTTCTCATTTCTGAGAACAATTCAAGGCATCAAGTGCAACTCAAAATAAAATTTACAACAAGATTATAAACATGGAATCCACTTTTAAGAGTATATTGACAATAAGTGTTAACAAAGGTTAGATCCCTCACAGTTTCCTCCCCTTTTTCTATTTCAAATGAATATGTCACTTAAGGCCTCTAGATCTGCAATGTTAGGCACATGCAGTCATTTTATATGAATTTAACTCTTGTAACAATAAAAGTCTGGGAATTAGCTTTTCAAAAATTTTGACAGTTCTTTATTGCTAAGCATCATTCTGCACTTCATATCCTTTTTACCTCTTGCACTGGATGCAAGCAGACAGAAGAGAAGCCCAGCTGTCCTTCAGGGTTTGCAACTGCTGTTCAATCACTGGTACTCCCTCCAGAGAAGTATTTTGCAGAACAGATTCTCCTGTTGTCAGAACCATTTTCATTTGGATTTCTTTTTCTCCTTTCACTGCTAGCAGTCCCTAAAAAGTGAGCGGATATTATTCTACTTTTATCATTAACTGGGCATGAATATACTAACAGGCTTTACTGGAAAATGAGCTGATCAAATTGAGCAGCTTGTACAAACAGTCAATTGGAAGAGGGACAGTGGGGTTCACAGCTGGGCTTCACAAGGAAAAAGTGACTTTCAAAGGGTAGGTTTAGGCCACTAAAAAAAAAATCTGAGTTGACAGGGAAGTTTCCATGGAATCTGTGCAGGTACTTACAGTATATCAGAGAAGGTACTGTTGGGTGGAAAAGCTGACATTCCAAAGGGAATGTCACTTAGATGGAAAACAGGAGGATTCATTCATAGAGAAAATAATATGTGATGACAAAGCTCTTCTACAGGGCTGAAATACAGTTCTACAACTCTAGGATCTATTTGCAACACAAAGGTACCAACATATAAACTCAGTAGACTATCAGCAATGTCAGCTTAGAGACTTCAGCTCCTGGAGCTGCACAGTTGCAAACTAACAGCTTCTAATACTATGCAAAGGCATGAAAAGCCTGAAAGCATGAACCTGAAAAACTCAATGAACATAACGCAAAACATAATTTTAGTATTTTGCTACAATCTCCTTCTTTTTGATGTATCCTTATAATTTTGAGGACTTGTCCGTATTTTGGCCACTGCTCAAAATTTGAGACATCAATAATATGAAAAGTGTTGTTTTCTGAGTACTGCTCTTCAACATCTTTTGTGCAGTGGTATCGATAGATGCTATTTTCTTAACTGTAGTCACCATTTTTAAAGCAAACAATTATAGGAAAAGCTGTTCTGAATCATCCATATCACCTGTAAGATCTAGGAAATAATATATTAAACTAACAGAAGTGAATATCCTACTTCTTCCATTTAACCTTCAGCAACCACACAACACCTTTTGAGGTTTTTTTTAAGAATTTACATATATGCAGTTTTTAGGTCCCTATATCCTTCTTAGAGAAAACTAATAATGAGCTCTTTCCTCTATAAAAAGAGTTATTTCTGAGTAAATTGAAAACCAGTGTCTGAACAACAACAGTCATTACGTTAATTGTTGCATATTAGTGTAAAGTATCCTATACTTGCATTCTTCTTACAGATCTAAAAAGAGCAGGTTTTGGAGTCTGCTGTTTCCATACCTCTAGCTTTAACATCCGGCTGTCCAGCACGCTCTTGTCTGCAGTGGGACGACAGTAGGAATCCAGCATGTGAACTGCATCAGCCACCCAGTCCTGGAGGTCCTTGGCACTGTACAAGAACTGCTGGTGCTCTGCTACGACCCTATCCATTCTGGAAACTTTCTCCTGCAATTCATACAGCAATTAGCACCAGCGGCTATTCAAAGGATCACTTATTCCCCATACCTACTTACAGACTTCAGAATGAGTTTCATAAACTATACTCAGAGATTCTCTTCATACATTGATAATCACAAGTACACTTACTTGAGCATGGAATGAATTTTGCATACACACACACACACAAACAAGTTGTCCAAACATAATATACAAATGAAAATTTCGGAAACACCTTTTTTTGTTTTCTAAATGTAAAGCTTCATCTAATTGTCTCCTCTCATCCAAAGTAGGTGAGAGCTTTCTGGTTTCACTTTTTCTTAAAATCTGGTAAATCACACCTAAACTCCATTTCAGTGTGCAGCTGAAGATAACTTGTGAAATCTGTCAATGCACAAGATGATAGATTTAAGCCTGTGAAGCTATGCCACTGCAACAACATTACTTTGTTGATACTTGGAAAAGAAAGACCTGTTTTCCTCAATGACTCCCATTGGTATAACCATTCTTCTGAAAAATTACTGACACTCACATGAATCAAAAATAAATGCTCAAGTTACATTGCTGAAAAGCCTGAGGTGAACAGGAATACAGAGCAGAGTGTATTTCACACGGTGACAGAGAACTAAAGTCAAGCCAGTGAAACAGGCTTAGGAAGTTACAGAGAGGGATCTTTCTCAAGTGTCCATGGCTACCCAAAGAATTTCAGGATTTCTCTCATAGGCTGGATTATATGTACCCTCTGCCTCAGATTCCTTCTTCTCATACTGACATCTCCTACAAGTTCTGTCCACATAAACCAATGTTAGCAACTCATGCGTCTTTCCCTTTCTTATTTTGCAGTCATGAAAATTTATTATGGCCATGTATATAATAATTTTCAGTAAGTCATACAGCTCTAGGTAAGCTTTATAATTTTTATTTCCACAGAAAAAGTAGAAATTAACAAACTAGCGATTGCCCAAACATAAATACATTCTGAATTTGTTATCCCATAACACGCTTCCTATATCCTTAATTATTCTCTTTACTGTAGTAACTATAAGCATAATTCATTATCAAGCCTCCTTCATGACTGGAACTTTGTGAAAAATAACAGCTCTAATACGAAGATCATCTTATCTATTTACACAATAGAGACAGTAGAACTACAAAATGGTGAAGTGTGTCAAGCACCACTCAGCAAAACAGAATTAGGTTAAACTCTCAGTTCTTAGCTTGATGCTTTAGAGTTTGGCCTATGCCCCCCCCCCCCCTTGAACCTTTAAAACCAGCCCAAGAGGTAATTTTTTTTGAAGCACAATTTATTACTTAGAGTTTGGCCTATGCCCCCCCCCCCCTTGAACCTTCAAAAGCAGCCCAAGAGGTAATTTTTTTAGAAGACCAATCTATTACTTTTAGATGAAGATGCTGAAAATGCAAATAATTAATCATCATTAAAGGATGCAATGAAGTAATACCTCTTCTGTATTCCGTATTTTCTAAAAAAAAAAAAAAAAAACTCCCCTGCGTTTTGAAAAATACTTCTTTCAGGTGCCATTTATTACAAAAATAAATGTCTTGAAATATGTTTGAAATAATCAAAATCCAACCTGATTATTGTATGATCAGGTGAGGTTTACTTTTTAATCAAAACACATTTAAAAAAAAAATAAATCACAATTCCATTTTGTTGACAGACCATAGAATTATCCAGGTCCTTACTTCCCATTCTTTAAAGCCAGTGTGAAAGACAAGATAGCTCAGACATACCACAAAGCAGAAAGACAAGATAGCTCAGACATACCACAAAGCAGACAAGCAAGACAACTGCAGTGTTTCACATTTCAGTCTTTCTTTTTCCCCACGTACATCAAATGAACTGCTTAAAAGCACATACACTGAGTGCATTACCTTTGTCAGATTGCTTAGAGTAAGATATTGAGAAGACAGCTGAGACACCCTGCGCATAAAGCTTTTGCTGACAGCTTGCTCTTCCCACAGCTGCTGAGCTTTCTCTTTTAGCCTGTTGAGCTGATGCTCGTGGCAGCTTATTTCCTCAAGGACAGACTGTAAAGCACAAGCACGTTAATATTAAGAGTGGGTGCAAGAAAGCAGGAAATAGAGAAGCATGAAGGCTCCACGAAAAATAGAAGTGACATATGGCAAGCTTGCTGAGAAAGACACACTATACGGCTACAGCAATGAAGCAGCATGTCATAAGAAATGTGGAGATGCAAAACCTGATGGAACAGGACCATCAACAGCAATCCTTGAAACCAGATCTCATCTTACTTAGAGGTCAGGATGCTAGAATGGTCAAGCTTTTGTAAGGAATCAATGAGGCCAGGAGGATGGGACAGGAAAGTCTGGCTGTGTTAAAAAGGTTTATAAGAAGTCACCTGCAATTTTTGCTGTTCTCTCCTCTTGGAAGGAAGATCATGGAGCCGACTGCTACTTCCTTGTACCATCCTCTCAGTTGTGGTCAGCCACTCTTGCAGAGGCTCAGCAGTTGCTTCGAAGTCCTTCATCCGGATCTTTAAGTTCTGGGAAGACATGCACAATTTTATCAACAGTTGCCCTGCACTGGGCATAACTGTAATGCACAACACACAGATCAAGCTCACAAAAAGGATATACACTTGCAGCCAAACACTACACAAATCTTCAAAATAAATTACACCAGCTCTGCTCCTTCCCATCCCACAGACGAACACTGAAAGAAAAGTCCGAGAGAGTACCTCTTTAAGAGGCAAACTAGAGGCAACAATGTAGGCTATGTCTACACAGTTGAGGGGAGGTTGAAACAAATTTCCTCTGACCTGAAAGCTTTACAGATCTTACGAGCTTTGACTCAATGTAAATCTAACTTACAAAGCTAAGCAGTCTGAAGAAAGGCTAATTTGGGATATGAGTTACCTAACATCTGACAGCAGTCATTCACACTGACGCCTCCTTAAACAGGCTGCTACTATTCTAGGTGATGTATGACTAAGTTCAACCCAATACTGGGGATCATTACTGATTATATTCTTTTTTAGTGTAAAATTTTGGTTATAAAAACGTGTGTGTGAAGCCATATGTAGGCAGTCCTTCAGTACCTGCATATTTTTCTTGTAGGCTTATTCTGCATGATTAAAAAAAAAGAGCATCTGAAATAATTCACATGTAATAGAAACCTGAACAGCATAATTCCTGTGCCCTAGTTATTTTTATTACTTTCCCCAGACTGATTTAGTTTTCCTTTTAGCTATAGCCTTATCACTTAAATTAAACATCAGAATGAAAAACTAAGCCTATGAGACTGAAAAAGGCTTGGCTCAAAAAGATTAACCTCTAAGGACATCTCCTTTCCATGGCAACCCTGAGATGAAGAAAGGTAAGTCCTTGCTATGTGAGAATTTTTTTTTAAAGGCTTTCCTGCACGATGTATTAAATGTATTTAAACTTTTTCTCAGCTGACTGGGCAGCATTGGTTTGAAAATGGAATGCCTACAAACTTTAATTCTCCTATGCTATGCAGGGAATTCCACCTAAGACCTTTTGACCTCAAAACCTATGACCTTAAAAGAGATTATGTTTTTAAGATATTCACCTTCCGTGCTGGTCAAATTGTGAGTTCTGAACAGAGAAAGGCACTGGGGTTTATTTAAAAAGTTGCTCAAATAAATAATTACATTTCACCAGTTTGCAATAAGAGAGGCAACATTTACCCACTGTACTGGGACTATTCAATCAGCAACAGCGTCAGAAATCTGTGCTAAAACAGTCCTTAAAAAAGAAAATGTGTTTTAGTAATCCAGTACATTTGATGAGACTCATGTTAATGAATTTGAGCAGCTGCTGTCTTTGCTATCTTCAGTTACTCTGAACAACACCCTTCTGCATGAAACACCCCACTTAAAGTGCAATCAGGCTGTAAGGATATAAGTAAACAAAAGTAAAATGTAAGCAGAAGAATGAGACTTCTTGAAAACAGCTATTTATTAGTTCTGTCACATCATAAACACTTACAGCTATATACGAAATCTAAATGGTGCTGTTTGAAACAAAAAGCAAAGAGGAAACTTAGATCCAATCTTTTCCCACTGTGACTGGTTCAATACCTCCAATGCAGATTCCTTACGGTGGAGGGTGGCGATAAATTTTTTCCAGTCTTCTTTAGCGGTAGCAGATTTGTCCTGGATAACTTTAGCCTTTTCCTTTGGTAAAACAGAGCAGAGCAGTTCTCCTTTGGATGCTACCAGGTTTAGTTTTTGTTGCCCATTCTCACTTTCTGACAAGAATTCCTAAAAATAGTAATAAAAGAAGCTAATTGGTGAACTTTCGGTCCCAGTAAAGGTCAATAGCAAGCTCCCAGAAATTTAACACGGATAAGAGTTTATTATTTCTGCTCATTAACATGCTAACTCATCTTTCAGTACATTCCATTTTAATATCATTCATATTTATGGGATTTAGGGACAACAGCTACTTAATCCAGAAGTGCCATGCATCTAAATAATGTATATATTAAGACTCTAGGATTACCTGTATCTTTTGCATTTCATGAGACAATTACTGGTCATTTAGTTGGGTATTATACTTCTTTAAATCTCCATGGTACAGAAAGTGGTAACAGTTTCATTTCAGGGAACCAGTATCCTGGCACAGGTAACAGCAGGAGCCAGGGCCCACTCAGGATTGAAGCCTTGCCCATGGGCAACAGCCATACTGGACTTTCAATGAACGTGTAGGGGTGTGGGCTGATGCTTAGACTCTGAGCAACGTCTAAGCTGTGTGATTTATTCCTCTGCATCCTTAATTTACCTTCCCTGCTTGAAAGTATTTTTCTTCATGGAAATCTTGCACAATGCTGGTGTGCAAGAAGTGTATGGAAAAATGCATGTGCAAGAATGCTACAGGTACGTAAGGAAACAGCCAGATTTTTAAATTCCAATGCACTGGGATAATGTCCTTATAACTTGTAATTATTAAAAGACTTTGTGAGCGTTTAGGACTCAAAGGAATTTAGCAGTCTTAAATACCAATATTTTAAACTGTTACTATCATGATCATGTGATACACAAATAGTTTTATATCCATAATCATAAGGTTATATCTACGTTCAGAAGTAACAGGCTTGAAGCAAAAATTACTAACTCAGGTTCTGATTCTGTGTTACACTAGAGGTCTTAGTAGAGAATGCAAACAGTCTGTTAGCTTTGAGATATGTGGTTCGAGTTCTGGCTATATTAAAATCAAAGACATAACTGCCTTGTGACTTAATGATGTCAAATGTGCTAACAGACAGAATATTAACTTTTAACAAAAATAAAATTTTAAGTTTATACAGGTTACCAAGACATCTTCAGAAGTCCTAAAGCTGTTACTGCATGTAAAAAAAAGTTTATTTCATCTAAAGAAGCTTTCAGGGAGGAGGAGAACAAAGTAAGGTCTTATGCTATGAAGGAGCTGCAGTGATAAAGAAAAAAAAAAGTCTTAACCACTGTTGAAAAAAAAACCTTGCTAAAACTCATATTTAGTGCCAAAAACTACTAGGACTTTCCCCCCGATATTTCCTCTAAACATATTGTCATTTTGGGTAGTCAAAGATTTGATATATTAATACAGTATTGTTTACACTTTTAAGTAAACCATTCAAGCAAGGGAAAGTGAATTTACCAAAAGGAGGAGGAAGTGATTTGGGTTTTGGTATTTTCTGAGAAACCAATATGAATTTCTTCTGTTATACTGTCTAACTGAAGGTTTAACAGTCTCATTATTTAATTCTCATTTTGCTATTTTCAGTTAAAATTATAGTTATAGTCTATTCATAAAAGTACTTCTTTCACTTGCTTTATTAAAATAAACTTTTAATTGGCACTCCAGATGTCCAGATGGAGAACAGTGATGAGTGGTGCTCCTCAGGGGTCCATACTGGGGCCAGTGCTGTTCAATATCTTCACCAATGACATAGACAGAGGGATCAAGTGCACCCTCAGCCAGTTTGCAGATGACACCAAGATGAGTGCTGCAGTTGACACACCTGGGGGATGGGATGCCATCCAGAGGGACCTGGACAAGCTTGAGAAATGGGCCCATGGGAACCTCATGAGGTTCAACAAGGCCAAGTACAAGGTCCTGCACTGGGGTCGGGGCAATCCCTGGTATCAATACAGGCTAGGGGCTGGAGGTATTGAGAGCATCCCTAAGGAGAAGGACTTGGGGGTACTGATAGACAAAAAGCTGGACAGGAGCCAGCAATGTGCTCTTGCAGCCCAGAAAGCCAACCGTATCCTGGGCTGCATCAAAAGAAGCGTGGCCAGCAGGTCAAGGGAGGTGATTCTCCCCCTCTACTCTGCTCTCGTGAGACCCCAGCTGGAGCACTGCATCCAGCTCTGGGGTCGTCAGCACAGGAAGGACATAGACCTGTTGGAGCAGGTCCAGAGGAGGGCCATAAAAATGATCAGAGGGATGGAGCACCTCTGCTATGAGGAAAGGCTGAAAGCGCTGGGGTTGTTCAGCCTGGAGAAGAGAAGGCTGGGGGGGAGACTTTATTGCGGCCTTTCAATACTTTCAATAAGGGGGCTTATAAGAAAGATGGGGACAGACTTTTTAGCAGGGCCTGTTGCAATAAGACAAGGGGTAATGATTTTAAACTAAAAGAGGGTAGATTCAGTCTAGACATAAGGAAAAAAATTTTTCACAATGAGGGTGGTAAAACACTGGAACAGGTTGCTGAGAGAGGTGGTAGATGCCCCATCCTTAGAAACATTCAAGGACAGGCTGGATGGGGCTCTGAGCAACCTGATCTAGTTGTAGATGTCCCTGCCAATTGCAGGGAGGATGGGCTAGATGACCTTTAAAGGTCCCTTCCATCCCAATGCTTTCTATGATTCTATGATTCCTTTCCACAGAGTTGTTAGGGCTTGTTTTAGCTTTGTGTGAAAAATATACTTTTAAAATGCCTGCTCAGACTGCGTACATTTTAACTCTGTTGTTCCACTACAAGGGCTCTACTTTCATATCTGAGGAAAAATATTTACATAACTTGTATGTGGAATTATTTCTAAATCCTGATTCTGATATCATTCTGATTTTACAGTACTCTCCTACTTTAAAAACATATTTTTTCCTATTGTAAAAAAGAAATAAACAAGGAAAACTACTATGAGAGACAATGACTACACACAAACTGTAGCGCAACAATTAAACTAAAGAAACTAGATTAAAAAAGAAGAACATAAGTGTTTATTTCCTTGGAATTAGTCACCTTTAGTGTTAACAATAACAAAATTAACAAAAAATAGTAATTAATCAAACAATTCAGTCTGAACTTTATATGAAACTGATTGCTTGTCCCTTAGACTAATATTTTACTGCTATAGAGTTACCTGTATTTTCTGCAGACTTGCTGAAGCTTCACTGATATTTTGAGGCACGTCAAAGCATTTGGATGTGGTGACTTTTGCATTGACGAGCCACTGCTGGAAGTCCCTGAAAGCCGTTCGAAATCTTTGCTGCAAGATCTGCTCTTTGCTTTGACATCCTTTTGAAGCTTGCAGGCACAGGCTGGGTTTATCACATCAGGGAAGCAAAAGAAAGCAAGGGAGGGAGGGAGGAAAGGCAGGACTCTGTTAGGTGACAATGCTATTACCTAGTTTTCTGAAATACAATGGTAAGGATAGTTTAACTTGGGTTCCTCCTACCAACTTTAAACACTTAACTGAGGCACCAGGAAATCCATTAGAAGCTTTCAGTTCCTTAAAAGTGAAGCATGATAACTATCACAGATACGGCAGGTGTAAGTGTTTCCAGAGAGTGACTAAGTGCACCTAAGCCCAAACAGTTTCTGCAAGCCCCTTTCTGTCTCTAGGGACAGGACAGGGAACTACAGTGACTACAATTCTAACTTCTGTGTCTCAGTTAAGTTTATAACGTTAGAAGGGATCAATCCGTGTCATCGCACCCTTCTTCTGCAGCTACAGAAGCCAACAGCTATTACCTCCTGCAAGAGACAACAGAATCTTGTGTCTGGAATGCAGGTGTCATACTCCCAGCTAAATCAGCTAGAGTGACCTGAGAGAAAGCAAGAAAGCAAGTAAATGCTAGCTCTCCTGTTTCAGGGAATGGGCTAGTCAAAGAAGAGTAAACTGAAGGAAAAAAACAAGAAAAAGACCTTAAATAGCTGGTATAGCTTGTTTCTCCTTCAGACAAATAAGCCATAGTGCTACCTCACAGTTTCTTACAACGATTCCTCCTGTAAGGAGGTCAGGTGTGGATATACATTAGTTTCAGCTGAGTTTAGTGGCATAGCCTGGCTTTTAGAAAAAAAAAAGCAATTGATACTTTTTACAACCTCTATTGACATCAAAATCAAAATAATGATTCTAACCATTGTATACCTCTGTTTCTAATCCTAAAATTCTAATTAATGGTTCCCTAAAAGACAGCTCACACCCACACACACGGGATTAACGATAAACAAGATGAATGTGTACCTGTTATACTCCTTAATCAGCCCTGAAACTTTTGAAGAATGAGTACTCAAATCTCTGGAAAATCTACAAAGATCATTTAACTGAGTTTTGATCTCATCTGTCATATGTTCAGACTTTACCAGAGCATCCAATGTTTCCTGTTAAAACAAAACAAATGAACAATATTGGTGATTAAATTAAAAAAAAATCTTTTGAATCAAAATTTATCAGAATTTAAATTCAACTTCATTTATGATCTATGCACGTTCACTTTCAAGAGTATTTTAGCAGTCAAACCTACAGAAGCTTATTTGAAATTATAAGCTTCTAGAAACCACCTTTCTGGAAGCCTCAATTTTCTTAGCTCAAAATGTTCTTGAAGAACACTTTAAGATATAAACTTCATTTTAATAAATGAGCTATGGTATTGTCCATTAGCTGTATACATATAAAAGTACATACAGTTAGGGAATAGCGAATAATGTATGTTTATATAAATATAATTAGCCTGTTGCCTTGAGCTTAGCATATGCAATAAAAACTGTTTTGAGCTGTATCCAAAAAATTAATTTAGGCACAAAGCTTTTAACAGCTTCAGCTCTTTCACAGAGGGCTTCATAATGTAAAAGTACAGCTGCTCACCATCCTGTGAGGGAAAATGGGTTACTGCCTGTCATTGCTGCACTGGAAAGACTCTTGCTTTGGAGACAGCTAAGCCAACAAAAAAAATGCTTTTGTTGGTTTAGCTTACGTCACTGGGAGAGGTGTCATAACCACTCCAACAAAAACAGTCCTTGTTGATGTCCTCAGCATCTCTACTGCAAAACCCCGCCAGCTACTCCAGCATAATGAGCAGTGCAGACTTGGCTCCTTGTCTCACTAGAAACTAAATTCTTCAGGCATTCCTCTTAAACTACCAGGGAGAAAAGACAATCTTCTAGCTAGTTGCATTCACCACGGCAGAGGTTCTGCAGTGCAGGCAGGCCAGAGTGTTTGGCACTTACAGATTAGTTTGGCTAAGTCTAAGTGCCAATCTGGAAGAAATGTACAATATAAACTTAAGAAACAGATCATACGAAAGTGAAGACAGATTTGAACTGGGACATGGAAGTGGGACAAGGAAGTCCCCAAATCATGTTTCTGAATATATAATAAAAAAAGATGATTGAAAATATACATAGTAAACAGTTTGTAATAATCTGTCAGCACAAAACTGAATGTTCAGGAAGAGTACAAATGATGTACATGAAAATAGATGCAGAAGGCTTTCAAAATATCACAATCTACATTACAGAGATAAAAATGCTCACTGAGTAGATTTTTCACTGTAAAGTATTAACTAACTCTGCAATAAACAGATATCCCTTCATGTAAATCAAAAGTAAAAAGAAATATTAGCAAGGGTCTAGCAAGCCAATCAACAGACTTAGTAACAACAGCAAATGGACAAAAGCCAAGGATTCAGCTCATGTGTCTGCTGCCCACAAGCAACTTCATGCTTGCTTCATATCCCTTTTCCTGAAAAAGTCTCTAGAGCTGTGAAATGAATTTTTTAAGTTCTATATTGTGCATTTCTGAGCAAGTAAAAAAAAAAAAATGAGAGAGATATACTGCTTCTTTGTAGTACCTGAACTGCCAGGAAGAAAAAAACACAATCCATTTTGAGAAAAATAAAACTACAAGCATGCATTGGCTATGAATAATAGTGGTTTAGACCATAATCACAGCTTGATTATATTAACATTACTGAAATCTGTTTGCATTTATAGATCACAGGGAAGCCCTGTAAAATTAAGTCTAGAGATATTTCAGACGTATTATGTGTACAAACTTTCATGTGTTCTTGTGAGTATGAAAAAATATTTTGCTACAGCAGATTTTTCAGGACTCCTCTGATTTACATTATTCATGCTCGTATTATGGACTTTATCTGCTTTGAGTCACTCATACACCAGAAATCTGTTCAATCATTATTAAAAGATACTTGAAATAGTCACACTGCCAGTTTGTTTCGATGCCATAAAAAGTAGCATTGCAATTAAGTAATTATGTAATAGCAATGATGCTTGGAAAAAAAATGTAAACTAACTACTTTTTGTTTATCTTACTTTATGTTAAACTACACACAGGACTTTTTTTGAAAGCATTAGGAATAACAACACAATGGCCGTTACTTAAACACAGGATGTCACAAATTGCGTAGGGCAGGAATCACCATAATGAAATACAGCTTTTTTTTTTTTTTTGGTAACGAAAACATGTCCTAAGAGTAGCAGAGGGTTACAATTGCCTGTTTTCAATGAAATGCAGCAGATCATCTTGAGTGTCATTACGCGGCATGTGCGGGACAACCAGGGGATCAGGTTCAGCCAGCAGGGGTTTATGAAAGGGAGGTCCTGCTTCACTGACCTGGTCTCCTTCTGTGACAAAGTGACCCGCTTAGTAGATGAGGGCAAGGCTGTGGATGTTGTCTACTTGGACTTTAGTAAGGCCTTTGACACTGTCTCCCACAGCATTCTGCTGGAGAAGCTGGCTGCTCATGGCTTGGATAAGTGCACTCTGCGCTGGGTTAAAAACTGGCCGAGCCCAGAGAGTGGTGGTGAACGGAGTCAAACCCAGTTGGCGGCTGGTCACGAGTGGTGTTCCCCAGGGCTCAGTACTGGGGCCGGTCCTGTTCAACATCTTCACTGATGATCTGGATGAGGGGATTGAGTGCACCCTCAGTAACTTTGCAGATGACACCAAGTTGGGTGGAAGTGTCGATCTGCTGGAGGGTAGGAAGGCCCTACAGAGGGATCTGGACAGGCTGGATCGTTAGGCTGGGGCCAACTGTATGAGGTTCAACAAGGCTAAGTGTCCAGTCCTGCACTTGGGTCACAACAACCCCATGCAACGCTACAGGCTGGGGGAGGAGTGGCTGGAGAGCTGCCTGGCAGAAAAGGACCTGGGGGTGGTGGTTGACAGCCACCTGAACATGACCCAGCAGTGTGCTCAGGTGGCCAAGACGGCCAATGGCATCCTGGCTTGTATCAGGAATAGTGTGGCCAGCAGGACCAGGGAGGTGATAGTGCCCTTGTACTCGGCACTGGTGAGGCCGCACCTCGAGTACTGTGTTCAGTTTTGGGCCCCTCACTCCAAGAAGGACATCGAGGTGCTGGAGCATGTCCAAAGAAGGGCAACGAAGTTGGTGAAGGGTCTAGAGCACAAGTCTTATGAGGAGAGGCTGAGGGAAGTGGTTGAGTTCCCATCCCTGGAGGAATTTAAAAGATGGGTAGACCTGGTGCTTGAGGACATGGTTTAGTGGTGGACTTGACAGTGCTAGGTTAACGGTTAGACTCGATGATCTTAAGGGTCTTTTCCAATCTTAACGATTCTATGATTCTATGATTCTACGAAATTTTTCAGTTTCAAATAACCTACCTCAATAACTACTAAAAGATAATTTTGATGACATATAGCCTTAGACATAACCTATTAACAAACAGGAACATTAACTTGCAAAACAGGGTACATTTAATCATGACGTATTTCCATACAGAAACACCGCCAGCGCTGTTGCAGCCACTTGGATTTAGTTTTGAATCTGACAATTACCAAAATAATTTGCTGAATTCCAAGTGTAAGATCTGTTGCTCTTATGTTGCAGATACCTAAAGGAACAGAGCTTGAGTATTACAGGATAGTAGAATGAGCTTGCTAATTCTGAGAATTAGGAAATGCATTTTTAATTCATGGCCTTGTCTTACATGGCAACAGAATCACTGTGAGACAATGGAAGCGGAAAGCTGCAGTACTGTTTTACGTTCACAATAGAACCTGTCCCTGGGGTCCAGAAATGGAAGGATTACTGTCACATTTCCTCTAACTATAAATAAAATTACATAGTAGGTCTATGCATAGTAAGTCTTGAGATTCCTCTGCATTTTCCTCGTTAGCCAAAGTTTACAACTGCCTAATCTAAATAAAGTGTTGTTACACAGAGCTACACTACACACACACACACACAGAGTATATACACTACTAATGAAAGCAATATCCTTTGAATTTAGTACTTCTCCATTTATGGATTAAAAAATGTCTGGTAATTGTTGCTGTATGTTGACGACAATTCCTTGTCTTCCTTTCCTTTTTAAAAACATATAAACATGGAAGACACTACGTATTTGTACCCTTATTTGCTCCAATGTAATGTCAGCTTTGTTACTCCTACATATAGGTACTGGCACTCAAGCAAGCAGGTTCCATAAATCTGTGTCAGGGAATTCTGTGAAAGGGGAAGCCACATAAATAACTTGGCACAGACATCGGAGGAGGAGATTTATAATCTCAGTTCAAAGCGAAGGTGTTCTGGGTTTTTTTTTTAATATTGCTTCAGTCAAGGGGTCAGAAAGCGGGCACCTCTCTACCGAAACTGCTTTATTGCAACACTACCCTGAAAGGGAAATACTCTGTATCTTTTCTCAACATCTGTGATTCACAGTAGTCGAGATACATACAAACATATATCGTGATTGTTGTGAAAATACAGATATATGTATATATAATATGTGTGTGTGTGATACATACGTGTGGAATTTTTTGCTAGAAGACAATCAGGAACAGAAACAACCTCTCTATTTCTCTGAATTCTACTGCATTCCACAGGAAAGCAATTAGCAAGTATACCGGTTTCCAGTAAATTTCTTTAAATATTGGACAAGATCTCAACATGCATAATGAGAAGGGTAGTTCAAGAAATGTAAAGTATAAGCTCAATACACTCCTAACAAATAAGTAAGAAATGGCCCCAGATGCTACTTGGCTGTTAGGAAATGCTTCGCATTTCCCTGATCAAGTGCTACTCTGGCTTGAAACACTGAGCATCTTGGAAGAGAAGTTGAGAGCTGGTGTGCTAGCTCCTTCACTTTCCCAGAGGCAAGCTCTGTTTTTAACATCTAAAAGATCCAGGCAGCATTTGCTAAACCTTGTACAGCAGAGGCCAAGGAGAGAAACATCTTCTGTAAACACTGCTTGCTGTAATTACAGTTACAAAAAAAGTTTGGAAACTTGGGATTCCATAGAAATATTTTTCACAAACACATTTTATTATTTCCTACTTGACAGTCACGCTTGGCAGAAGTCTTCTGCCCACAGTAACTGTACATTTACAATCGAAAAACTGCTAGGAAGAGAGATGTGACCTTACTTTCTCCTTGCGCCAGCTTTCCACGACCTCGGCGTCGGTGTGCCGGCTGTCGAGGGGGACCAGGCTCCGCGACCAGGCGGCCAGCAGCCCGCCGAACCGCTGCACGGCCCCCTCCAGCTGCGCGACCTGCGCCGCGAACTCCTGCTCCGACAGGGCCATCTGGCTCAGCACATCCCGCAGGCGGCTCTGGCTCCGGAAGGCGCTCTCTTCCCACTGCTTCCAGTCCGACTGCAGGGCCTGCATCTCGGCGGCCAGCAGCTGGCACCCGCCGGCGGGCGGGCTGCGCTGCGCGGCGGGGGCCCGGGGCTCCACGCGGCTGGGGGGGGGCGCGC